TGACATTCTCCAGGGCCATCCATGTTAGTGCAAATACATATTGTATTCCTTTTCATGGTTGAGTAGTATTCCATTGTATAAAGATACCAGGGGTTCTTTATCTTGTCGTCTCTTGATGGAGATTTAGGTTGTTTCCATGTCTTGGCTATTGTAAGTAGTCCAGCTATACGTTGGGGGTGCAGATTTCCTTTCGAATTAGAGCTTCCTCTGGATATATGCTCAGGAGTGGGATTGCTTGATTATATAGTAAGTCTGTTTTTAGTCTTTTGAGGAATCTCCATACCGTTTTCGTTAATGGCTGTACCAAATACATTCCCGCCAACAGTGTAGGTGGGTGTCCTTTTTGCCACTGCCTCTCCAGCATTTATTATTTGTGGACTTTTGAATGATGGCCATTCTGACTGGTGTCAGGTGATACCCTGTTGTAGTTTTGATTTGCATTTCTCTGAAAAGTAGTGATATAGAGAACTTTTTCATGTGCCTTTTTGCCATTTGTGTGCCTTCATTGGAGAGCTGCTTGTTTAGTTCTCAGGGAACCGGGCCAGGAGGCACCAGCAGGTTGGTTCAGGGCCCCAGGCAGCAAAACAGACTGGAGGAGCCCAGCCTCACCCGGTACTCCCTCGTGAGTCCCGCCCTCTCGAGGCCTGGGACCCCGCAATGACCTCAGCATGGGTGAGGCTGCTCCCTGTACCTGCTGTGCTCTACCCTCTGTCCCAGGCCACACCTTCCAGGGTCCCTCCTGGGGCTCAGGGGCTCCCTGATGGGCCAGGCTCACCAGAGGGGCCCCTCTGCCTGGAGCCCCCACCTTTCCACTTAGCCTCATTCCCACTGCGCAGAAGGGCTATAGGTCCCCCTGCCCTGCCTGGATCCAGTTTACAAACACTGTGCAGTTGCCCCAGGGCCTGGCCTCCCCCTCCCCGGTGTGCCCATCTCTCTTGAGACCCACTTCCCCGGCAGGCACAGGGACCCTCCACATGCCAGGTAAATAGCAAACTCCTCCTCCTACTAAAGGCCCAGTCTCAGAGAAAGCCCATCACTGCCCACAGCCCACCTGGAGCCCATCCGGGCACCTCTCCCAGCTTCGACTTCTCCTTGTGTCTTAGGCCTCTCAACATCCTGTCTCCTGCAATAACAAGGAAGCAAGATTCCAAGTAGCTGTCCCTCATGTGGGCCGTCTCGCTCTTTCCCTCTTCCTCTGTTAAGATCCTGTTTGGGAGTTTCTCCCTTGTCGTAGTATCCAGGATATCAGAGGTGGGAAGGGACCGTAGGTCTGTAGCCCAGCCCGTTTTCAGAGGCACAGAGAAGGGGCAGTGACAGCCTGATAGGGAAGCAGGGCTGGAACCAGGCCTGCACCTTTGCCATCAGGGCCTTGCTCCTGCCGCTGCCCTCACTGCTCCCTCTGCTCGTCAGGTTGGACCCTTTGCCCCTTAGGAGGGGTGTTGGGTACAGATGTTTACCTCAGTTTATGTCACTGTCAGAGAAAAAAATAAACAGGAAAAGAAAAAAAACCCACTGTAGACATGAAAACTCATAAGACAGAAAACCCTTGCTACTCTCCTGGGGTGGGTGGGTGGGTGTGTGCCCGCGCGCGCGCACAAGGGAGCATGTGTGTTCACCCTGGGCAGGCCAGGTCACCCCCGACCCCTGTCCCAGCCCCCTACACTGCCCCCCGTCCTTGGGTGCTTCCAAGAGGCCCCTCTTCCTTAAAAGTGTGAAACCTATCATCATCATTTCTGTTATAAGAGTTTTAATTCTCAGATAAGCAGAACATAGAGCCATGTCTTTGTTTTATGGGTATTCTTCTGTTTTTACAAAACACGTAGATTAGCAATGTCTAACTTCAAACATGGTAAGACACTAGATAAGAACTCATCTGCAAAACAGAAATAGACTCACAGACATAGTAAACAATCTTATGGTTACAGGGGAATGTGTATGGGAAGGGATAAATTTGGGAGTTTGAGATTTGCAAATGTAAGCCACTATATATAAAAATAGATTTAAAAAACCCCAAGTTTCTTCTGTATAGCACAGGGAACTATATTCAATGTCTTGTAATAACCTTTAATGAAAAACAATATGAAAATGAATGTATGTATGTATGTGCATGACTGGGACATTGAGCTGTATACCAGAAATTGACACAATGTAACTGACTGTACTTCAATTTTAAAAAATTTAAAAAAATGAAGACTATATATATATATTTTCTTTTCTTTCCACATGCCCTGGTTCTACCATTCAGGGGGAAGTTATTTTTACCATTTTCTTTTTTCTTTATCATCTAATTCATTCGATCAGTTTTAGTCAATTTGGACTTCTTATGAATGATAGAGAATATAGCTCATTTCTCCCAGTTTCTTCTCGAAGAAGTATATTTTCTGCTTGTTCCTTAACCTCTAATTTTAAGTTTTTTAAGTACATTTTTTGGTTTTGGTTATAATGTACTGTCCTTAATATTATGCTTAAATAATATATTGTCTGTCCATTTTGTGCAACATTGATGGGCCTAGCAGAATGTGGAGATTAGTGCTCAACTTTTATTCTTTCCAGCATTTCCCATCATGGCTTTCAACTTTTAGCAAATATAATTTGATGTTTATATGGTCAAGTTTTATGTAATTTACATTCTCTTTTGTAATATAACAAAGCCTTCCATGCTTTATCTATAGGTTGCTTTTGATAGCAGGTAGCATGATTTGATCCATATCAAGGCAATGAAATCATATGTGAATACACTAAGCCTCCAAAAAATCCAGGTTTCAAGAATCAAGAATCATGAAAAAAATAAGATGGAGTAATATGTTTAAAGATTTGAAAGGAAACAATTTTAAGCCTTAAATTAATTATCTTTTTTTCTCCATTGAGTGTTTGAAATCATGTCATCTCAACAGTGTATGCCATCAATTCTAAAAGACATTTCTGAAAGGGAATTCAACCTACGATAGATGTCCTTTTATATTCATGAAAATACAGTAGTTTCCTGCAGATTTTGTACATGCATGGTGCATTATTTATTGTTTTAGGAGTTTTTATTTTGAAGGACTAAAAAGAAACAGCACCTCTTTCAACACATCACGAAGATAACCTAATTCTTATTGTTCTCTTTCATAAATGATTAATTTTAGACATCTCACCAGGCCTGCTGCCAGCTGTCAGCATTAATTCCTTGCATGTTCATTCCCAGGACATCCAACCATACTTGAATCTAATGAGAAGCTCTTTGTTCAGTTTCTTTTCAGTTTCCTGTATACTTGAATGTCTCAAGAAGTTTTTAATTTCTTTCATATTACATTTGCATTTTAGTTAAGTTTATAGGTGCAAAACAATTTTCACTGTGTTTTGTAACATTCTGTCAAAATAATGAAAAGTCAGATCATCCTTTAAAGGAAAATTGATTTTGATTGACATTAGGAATTTTACCAGCAAGGTTGGAGGAAAAAAATAAGATGGAGTAATATGTTTAAAGATTTGAAAGGAAACAATTTTAAATAAGCCTTAAACTATATGCAACCAAGGCCTTTTAAATATAAGGGCACACAGAAAGATATTGTTAGAAAATAAGTCCTCAAAAGTTTTATTTCACATAAATCTGTCTGAAAATATCCCTAGAGGGAAAGGTCCAATAGGAGGAAAAATCAACCTGGGAAGATGCTGTTAGGTTTGCAGAAACGAGGGTGAATGTTAGTGACGTTTACTGTATCCCAACAAACACATGAAAACGTAGCACACGCAAAATAGCCCAGAAGCAAGGCTCCAGGAAATATCTCCTTAAAATAGGTCCTGTCATGATGGAGAAAGCAAAATCAGAGGAGGTGGGAGTACTTGCTTGGTTTGCTGAAATGATATTAATATTGACGTAGGTATGTCAACTGGGGGAAAAAAAAGGCACAATCCAAAAGTTGAGAATTATGTTTTCTCTGGTGGATTTCCAGAGGACTTATGGAGATCACGCTGAAGGACTGCTCAAAAGAGGTAAGGGAGAACTGGACAGCATGTAAAACAATGAAGCTAGAACACACCCTCACACCATATACAAAAATCAACTCAAAATGGATTAAAGACTTAAACATAAGACAAGATACAATAAACCTCCTAGAGGAAAATACATTTCAAAAATTTTCTCCTAGAAGAAATAAAAGCAAGAATAAACAAATGGGACCTAATGAAACTTACAA